TAATGAAACGATTACGTAACGCGCGAGGAAACAGGGGAGCAATTGCCGAGCGCAAATTCCTGCGTGGGCAGCGATAATTTTTTAATTCTGTTGCACTAGAAAGTTATCGACGCGCCGTATCAATTTTCCATTTATTGCAGGTACTAACGTTCCGCATCGATTCGTAAATAATTGGATTTCGGGACGCACCTGCACGCCGCTCGAATTATTTTTCAATCCGTAATGGGTTCCCGGCGTATTGGCGGGCCCGGTCGGGCGTGAATTCTACGTTTGAATATTTCATAACTGGAGAATTCGGTCGATGACCTGGGAAATTACTATTACACCTTGTATTAACTAATGTCAAAATTGATATCTTCTTATAGATTCAACAAGACTTAACATTTTCAAACCAACGGAACATTTTCATCGACATATATTATTAAAATAATTTCTTCAGCAAATCAGCCCTTATTCCCAATTATTGGTCCACTAAAATTCAACGAAATGATCATTACCAGAAGAATTAAAGTTGCCATTCTCGACATAATTCACAATAATTTGAATTTTTAGATAATCTCCAAGATAATTTAGTAATTCCTTCAACAAATACATTCTTCGTTCCACAAAATAATTATTACCAGAGGAATCAAACTTGCAACAACGTACCTCAGAATAATTCAAATTTCAAAGTAATCGTCGACACGATCTGAAAACAATTTCTCTATTTTATACATTAATAATTTTCGTCGTTTCGGCGATAGCGTCTACTCGATAGTAGTCCGATTTCGCGGTGGTACCGGTTTAATCACTTAAAATACGTGTAGCGGGATCGCGGAAGTCGTTACGCGTGAAAAATCCGCGGATGTTTTCGCGAGTTCGCAACGATTTCCGCGCAGCGAGTCGGCAGATGGCGGAGCGGGGGGGTGTAGCAGCGTGGGAAGGGGTGTGAAAACAAGGCGCGTGCGTGACCGAACGGGAACGTTAAATTTTCATTAACGAAAATTACGAAACGGGCCACGCCGCCTGGCCGCTGATAGTTGCAGCAATTATTTTAAGCGCGACCTGTATAAATCAGCTGGCCGAACCAAATGAACCCTGAATAACAGTCCGAATCGGATAGAGCCGGCGGGATACGTCCGCGGGAACACCGGGCACGGTTTCGTAATTAAAAACGAGAAAAAACATATAATGGCCGCCGCTTCGCCTAGCAATTTGTCCGAGCCGCGATAAAGTTGTACGCGTTCCGCCCATTCGTTGGAAAGTATATCGGTTGCTCGTGTACAAATCAAATTATCCGTTTTATGGGAATTTCACTGGTGCAGGCTTCTAAAGTGTTTGATAAAAAACTGTGATTTTTTATTATTTGATTTATCATCAAATTATTTTTTTCATAGGAATTTCATCGGAGAAGACTTATAAAGTATTTGAGAAAGAACTGTGATTTTTTATTCATTTATTCATTATCAAATTACTTGTTTTATAGGAATTTCATTGGAGGGAGCTTCTAAAGTGTTCGATAAAAAACTGTGATTTTTTATTAATTTATTTATTGTGTTCGATTATATTCTTAGTTTTGTATTTTGCTTGTTAGAGATCGTTTTTTCTCGATGCTGGTATTTTATGGTAATTAGGAAATAGTGGTGCGATATGTTAATTATTTTATGCGACTGTGGAAATTCATTAAAGAAGTTCCATTCGTCGCGACATGTTTATTGCACGCAGCGCGGTCTATAAGATTATTTATGCACACTTGTACATATGCAGTGGTCACGGTAGAATTACCATACAAAAGTTTACCATAAAACTTCATTTTGCTTATCGCGGTGTCCAGTATCCGTCCACTATGCGCTCGGTTAATTCAATTCGCGGCGAGATCGTGGTTAACGGTGTGATCACTTGGGTGAGGTTCGTCTTTAAATCGGATAATCGATACGATACTATAGAATTTTGTGCTAAGCAGATTTCCAGAGATCCACTATCAATCTTTATACACAAAAACTATATAAAACTATATTAAAGAATTACTAGATTACAATTTCTTCTGTATATATGTACAAAATTTTAAACTGCAAAATCGCATCGAATGAATACAACACAAAATAATATACCACTTTGCATGGAGCAAACAATATATAATATTATTTATAAACATTCACAATCCAACAATTCCAAACGCAATCAAACAAAATTCCCGTTCCTTAAATAATCGACTCACAAAAAATGCACCATTTTCCATCGCAATCCTATTTCCCCAACGATCCTCTCAAGAACACGAATTTAAATTGCCAACATTCACAATCCAACAATTCCAAACACAATCAAACGAAATTCCCTTTCCTTGAATAATCAACTCACAAAAAATGCACCATTTTCCATCGCAATTTTATTTCTCCGACGATCCTCTCAAAAGCACGAAATTAAATTTCAACCATTCGCAATCCAACAATACCAAACACAGTTAAATAAAATTCCCTTTCCTTAAATAATCAACTCACAAAAGATGCAGCGAAGTATAGAGTTCATATGCGCCATTTTCCTTCTCTCTCTCCCGCGGGAAACGCAATTGCTGGGCACGACAGGCGGTGCGATTATTTCGCCAGTGTGTCACGGATCGTAGCGCGTGGTCCTTTTCCAGCGGCGAGAAAGGGCTCCAATAAACTCGCGTTACAATCGGTTCCATTCAACGGTCAGCCTTTCACCCCTTTTTCGTGGAGCTCGCGCGGATTTCATGCCCCTCGGGGAACAGGGCCGCGTTCCGCGGTTAACAAACGCCGGCCGAACGTCCGCGCGCCACTTATAATTATAAACGCTTAAAAGTAATCGAGCGCGGCGGCGGTATCGCGTCGAAAAAGGAATCCACCTGGTGAATGGCGTTCGTTAAAAGAGAAGGACGGCCATCGGGCGGAATCGAAGCCCTCGCGGACGACGTCTGGACAGAAATTGATGGTTGAATTTAATTGACAGAGCCCCCCGGAACAACAGCTGTTGGCAATTTTATTTACTTTCTGCTGGATCTCGCCCGATATGATTAATGAAGCGGCGCTCGATATTTAGAGGGCTGCGAGGGAGCAATAAATTTCCGAAGTTCTTTCAGAATGAAAATACACAGTGGACCATCGGAACAATGGAGTGTCGAACAAGAATATTATTTCAGAAACATTTCAAAGGATACGTAAAACAAAGAAAATTAACGTGTATTAAAATAGTATGAATTAATGGAGACTTTATATTTCTCTTTCGAAACGTTTACTGTTCGCTACATTCCACTCTAATTGCCTCATTTCATACAATCAACATGTAGTATTCAAAAATTGCTACACCAAGCCATACAGAATATTAGAAACATTTCAAACGATACGTTAAACAAAGAAAATTAACGTATGATAAAATAGTATCAATAAATACAGATTTTACAATTCTCCTTTCAAAGCCAAACGTTTACTGCTTTCCAGTCCTTTCCACTCTCAATTGCCTCATTTCAAACGATCAACATATAGTATTCAGAAATTGCTACACCAAGCCATGCCGCGCGCACAATGAGTCAAAGGGGAAAGTTACAGCAGAAATCATCGCAGCGACAATTAAAACACCGAGTCCGCCGCGATGATACTTTTCCAATTCGCCGCCGCGAAGCCGAACAAAAGCCTCGCGGGAAATGATGACGATGAAAAAAATCAGCGTTGTTTGACTTTTTAATTAACTCGACGGCCGGGCACAGTTCCGATCGAGCCGGCAGCGAAACAATGACGAAAAAAGAATTCAATTAAAACAGTTCCTGTTCCCGGCGTTCCCTTTTCCCGCGCGTTCTCCCGTCGCCCCTCGCTCGCCGGTCCACGCCGAACTCGTCCGTCGACGCGGCTCCTCGCCGCGAGTTCTCCTGGAAATGTTCTCCGGTTTCGAACTCGTTCGCGGCGCGGACGGTTCGATTCTCGGCGATTCGTCACGGTTAACGCCGGTCGTCGCGGCGCCGCGCTCGATTTACGAGGATTACAGACCGCTTATTGCCGCGCTCATCCCCCGGCCACGGTGGTGCAAACGAGCGTGGCCAATCCTGTGTGCGCCCGTCGTCGTATTAACGCTTCCCGGGCCGCGCGGCGTCGCCGTCCCGGCGAACCGAACGAAATAGGAACCGAACAGATCCTCTCGGAACCGTCACTTCCCGGCGCGGCGCGATCGATCACCTTGCTTCTAACTTCCCGAGCGCGGTCGCTTCGGTTCACGCGAACGGGGAATTGATCAATAGACCGTACGTGTCTTGGGCGTCTATGATATACTCCCCGAGATCGAGAATGAAATAAACGGAATGGAAATGCGCTAACGCGGTGACGCGAGGAACACCGGCGTTTTATGCGCCACAGACGAGCCTGTTTTTGCGCGGTCCTTTTATATGCGATTTTTCTTTGTGCGATTTATTTTGTGCGATTTTTTTACGCGGTATACGAATTGCAACGGTGTCGTTGTTTTTCAAGCGACGAAAGCGACTTTGGACCAGTTCATCGCAAGAAGATGCGCGTTTTGGACGAGTAGTGAATTATGTGCATTGTGAAAATTCTTTATGAGCAATTAAATCTTTTTTAATGATTCCTCTGAAGGTCAACTATTAATAACAGCAACGTAACGTTTAATTTCTATTCAAACGAAGCAAACAATGTTCAGATCAGTAAGAATCAATTTGAAATGTTCGTCGCGACTCCGGCATATCAAATGACAACAGGGAGAGCAAACAAGCTAACTGTTTGATTGTTTAATCGAGTTTCTTTCGCAGTCGTGCAACAGAATGTGATTCCATTTTGTATTTGAACCGTCGGTTTTGCAAATTGTACAGAGTAAAAAAGTGGGGAATTCGAAATCAAGTCGCGTGAAGTGTGATTTACGAGTTGCACTGAGATATTCACGAAACGGGAAAGTGAAATTGGTTAGTTCGAATTTGGAAGTGATTAAATTAGTGTACTCTGTTCTAGGACGAACGCATAAAGAATTTATCGAGCGCGACTAACGCGATGAAATACGTTACTTACCGTTTTTTTCAGGCGAGATATCGGCGACATGTTCAGGCCAGCGATAATTGCCATCAGGGAGTTGAAGTTGCCGATGTTGAAACATTCACGAGCAGTTTCGATCCAGTATTCAACCACGCGAACGCGTTGCTTCTTTTTTGCGTGCTGGAAAATTGAACGGATTCTTTTTCAGCATTACGTGCTTTCAGCGGAGTTTTGAAACGAATTTCCGCGTCAGTTCCCCTGTGACATATCTGATATTCGCGTGTTTAATTTAGGATTCTCTGATTATTTACCTTGCACACTTCGGTTGCTACGAAGTAGCTCAGTCTATTAAACCATTGGACGTATGATTCGAGATTGCGAGTCTTCTTCATGTCCTTGAAGGATGTTTCCAAGTGAGGAGACTCCTACGTAACGAACAACAAAAAGATCGATCATCTTTTCGTACCTTAACACATTGACTGCCACGAGAATTTCTAGCATTTTGAATAGTAATACTTATATGCGTTGATAACAATGTTTAGTATCACAATAGTCATCAGGTTATGATTTAACTACTTGTGTTACTAAACATTTTTATTTAAAATCAGATTCTTTATTATAATTCTTCATCAATTTGGAAGCTCCGGTCATCGGTGACCACCATGGCAGTCAACGTGTTAAAGTACTCAAAACACAATTCCTTAATCAATAACATTCAGTTTTTAATTAAAAGAAACTTCAGAACTAAAGCAAGAAGATAGCACTATACTACTTAACCGTTTGAGTGCAACGCATTGATCGCGCTTCCGTTTCAATTCAGAGACTGAATGACGTTCCTCTATTTTTACGTGAAAAGACTATAAATACCGCGGTCGTTCCGCTTCTCCATTTCTAAGGTAATAAAAATACAAATAATTAAAAGACAAATAAAGTGAATTCGACAGACTTAGACAGCGTAACAAAGAAGCGCGATCGCTTAACTCAAACAGTTCAATAAAAATACAAAATACCTCATCATTGAAATTCAACAAAATTCAACGTTCACTTACTCAATCCAAATAACCGTTCACACTCGACTGACGAGTATAATCGACAGAATCTAAGCGAAATCAATCCATCCGCGAATGAATCGTTGAGAAATCTCTCTCACGATCAGCTGACACGCGAAATCCGTGATCCTCTAACGAAGAACACGAGAGAATCGTAGACGGGACACGTACCTTCGCGAATGCTTGGACGAATTCTTCGGGGCCGATGTAGGAGAGCCTCTCGAGTTCCACATGGGTCAATTGCTGCGCGAGTACCGTGGCTGAGGGACACAGCTCGGTGACGTCCACCTGAAAAACGACGCGACAGTTCCATTCGGTTAAAGTGTCGAAGAAAGCGTCCCCGGGAAATCGCGGGAAAAGGGCGGCGGAGGCGGGAGGGCTGGGACACGATGAAAGGGAAGAACGAGGGCGTCAACGGGGACTCGATTCATGGCGAACGCGGGAAGACAGAAAGCGGAAACGGCGAACGTGCGGGGCCGCCGCGGCGCGCCCCTTCTTTTCCTTTCCAATTTCACGTCCTCGTGCTTCGCCGAGCAAATTCGAGCGAGTTCTTATCTCCGGCAGCCACAGTTCCGAAGTGGTTCCGGGGACGTTCGACGGCCTCGGACATCGCCGATAAAGATCTACCTAGCGACTGCCAGTTACGTATTGTCCGTCTGCCGTTTGACGGCTACACTGACGGTCTAACTTGCCAGTTCTCGTCTTTTGCTGGATCGTTTCATCATTCTGACTTTCGTCTTTCGTTCGTCGCATGTTTGCTAATGTTTATCTTGTTTCCTAATTAGTTTTCATTCTTTTTTTATCTTTGGCAGCCATTGTTCCGAACTGGTTCTAGGTTTATCGTTTTAGGTTTGATAATGTTTGCTAATGTTTATCTTGTTTCCTAATTAGTTTTTATTCTATTTTTATCTTTGGCAGTCATTGTTCCGAACTGGTTCTAGGTTTATCGTTTTAGGTTTGCTAATGTTTGCTAATGTTTTATCTTGTTTCCTAATTAGTTTTCATTCTATTTTTATCTTTGGCAGTCATTGTTCCGAAGTGGTTCTAGGGACGTTCGACGGCTACACTGACGGTCTAACTTGGCAGTTTTCGTTTCTTCTGGATCGTTTTATAATTGTGATGTTCGTCTTTCGTTCGTTGCATGTTTGCTAATGTTTATCTTGTTTTCTAATTAGTTTTAACACGTTGAACGTTGCACGGTTTTATAGAACAAACTACACAAAACGGAAAAGATATAATATCAAATTATTTGAATTGAATCATTATTACTGTAAGTTCATCTACCTGAATGTCACCGTATTAAGTAGCGCTATTTGTAATATAGATATGTTTTCAAATAATCATCGTTTAATTGAATGAACTATAGTAATTCGATTTAGTTAGCATTCCCACGGCATTCAACGTGTTAACTCTACTTTTATCTCCTGGAAAATATCAGTCCTCATTTATCATTCATGTTTTAACTTAAACTACAAATTTATTCAATAACTCGACTTCATTTTCTGTAACTCGAGTATGAAAGAACCGATAGAAAACGAACGAAGAAAGTGAATGAGACGAAAGACAAGCATCCTAGAAATAAATGGAAGATCTTCTTCACCGGTTTGATAATGTGTTAATACCGATCGCCGCCATTACACTCGCTACCGTGAACGAACAGAATGAGCCCGACAGACATTTCGACTTGAATCGAACGTCTGACCATTCATTCCCGCCTCCCAGTCGGGAGGAACGACCTCCGTGAAATTTATATTCTCCAGCTCAACTTGTCTCACGGAATAAAAGGGTGGAAAACGCGTCGCTGCAAACACTGACCTATATCACTGCGCCGCTGCGCCGGCCCGAAAAACCGGCGGGATTCCGTCGTCATCTATCTCGCCTATTATTCATACTTTTATTGGCGACTGTTCTTTGTCCGGACTATTTCTTTTTTTCGTTTGTTTGTCTCGTCGGAACTTTTGCCCCTCCAGTGACGGAGGGGAAATTTCCATAATAACAAATGTATGAAGTCGGAGTAAATAGAAACAACGAATTTGCGACCAATTTTTCAGGAGTTTCGTTACGTCGGTAACAATTGCTCGCGGTCGAAGATTAATGCTTTAACCCTTTGCACTCCAAAGATTTGTCACTGGAAATATTCAATTTACCTCTATGAGATATAGGTGACATTTTTTTCAACTAACTCGACGAGGAATCTATTCACAAAATAAGGGGAACAATGGTATTTTGTGTCCACATTTCACGTATCGACAGATCGCTCGAGACTTAACACTAGGTTTACGGAACGCGTCAAATTGACGCATATTGGATTTTAGAAATATTATTTTGTAAATGTTTACGCCGATTTTGATTGATGCGATCACACTGACATATTCCCCAATTACCTACTATCAAATCTCCAGTTTCCACGATCTAAATAAACGGGCATCAATTCTTTTAGGAACAATAGAATGAAGTGTACAATAAATGCCCGTAAACCTAGTGTTAACGTTAAATACGGAATTTTACAATTTTGATGCAACAATCGAGTGGTGATCGAGGCACCCTTGGAGTGCAAAGGGTTAAGTGAATCGTTAAAAAGTCGAAATTATCGAGAAGTTCCGTATGTCTATTGTTCGAGCCGCGAAAAGGGAAATTTAATGATGATTAGAATTAATTATATTAAAGAGTCGCTGATGGAACGCAATAATTGCTACACGAAAATTTTGATAATTTCCCAGCGTAGGCGTAAAGGAATTATCAACTGTTAAAAATGGCAATTAGCGCGGTCAGATTACTTTGAGATAATTGCTGGAGTTACCATAATTAGCCGGCTGTTACTCACGTTTCGACGAAATATATGGAAATTGCCGTTAATCGCGGCTCGCGGCGACAATCGAGCAATAACGGTATGGACATTTATATTTTTGTCAACTGCTTTCTTAATGTCGTCGTTATCGAATGAAGTTGTTGTAATATTTCACTATAAATACCCGCCGCGAACGTTAATAACGGTAATATAAAGTTTATTTTCCGATTTCATTTCATCGAGGCAATTTCGGCGGGCAAATATACTTTTATTATTGCAGATTTATTAATTACAACGTGTCAGGTTTAATTTATATCCGCGTTATCTTGCGCCAAACATTGTTAAATACTGAAATATTTTATTACTTCGATTTCGTAATTCATTGGCCGTCGCCCCGGTAAAAATTGCAGTCGTTAAGGTAAATTTTATATTCGTAACGTCAAATAAATTCTCAATGGAAGCTGCGTATTATTTCATTAGTATCGACGATCGTTGGAACGTAAAATGTAACTCGAATGTTTCAGGAAAAAGAACTGCAGCGAACGTCAGGTTTTTATAAAACAGGAGCAGAGGTTTTTGGAAAAAAGGAATGTCATTAAAATACAAGACACGTTAGAATTGCGATAAAAATGTCTAGCAAAACATGTTACAGACGCATCAGCTGGCAAAGGACTTTGAAAAGCTTTCGCTCCCTTTAAGCTTTTACGTTTCGTTCAGCAACTAAAGTGATATTTATTTTTTCAAAAAGATACGGTCCATTAAGGTTCTAAATGGGAAACAAGTTACAAACGTAGAATATAATTTTGTTACGCGAAGTTTTCCTCTTTAGTCTGACTTGTAGTGAGTATTTCTGCTTATTACGGAGCTGGTAATTTTTAATAACAAAATATTTATAATTTTCCAGAATAAATGAACTATAAATTGACAGTGGCAGATCAGTGACAAATATAAAATAACGTTTATTCACTTTTAGTAGAAATATTAAGTGATACAAAGGCAAATTAGTCAGGCATTCTTCGAAACACATTAAATCATCGAAGCAGGCAACTGAATTTTCTTAAAAAGCAAAGTTTTATAATAAGCAATTTTATTTCGAACGAAGAATCTTCCTGAACCACTTCACACTGCACAGAATTGCATCCTAATTGCATCTACTACCGTTAAACAAAAAATCACCCAAAAAATCTCCTTCACAGTTGCGCGAATAAGACCATTTAAGTTTCAGGAGCTCCATTCTCATGGACATCATCGCTCACTTGCCTCCGTGAACGTACATTTCCCAGCTTTTAATTGGGAACAATAAGGGAAGATTGTCCTGGCATTTCGAGCGTTTCCTCTGGCTTCGTCTAGTCGAAGGTTCTCCATTAACCATGAAATTAAGGAAGCTGCGTCGAGCGTGACTCTTTCGAGCGAATGCGAAACACAGGGAAAGAAGACGAAGACGACGACGAAGATGAAAAATCAGGTAAAAATGGAGACGAAGATGAAGTATCAGACAGAAATGAAGACAAAGATGAAAAATCAGACAGACATGAAGACGAAAATGAAGAATCAGACAAAAATGAAGACAAAGATGAAGAATCAGACAAAAATGGAGACCAAAACGAAAAATCAGACAAAACTGAAGACGAAGGTGAAGTATCGAACAAAAATGGCGACGAAGATGACGAATCAAACAAAACTGAAGACAAATATGAAGAATCAGCCAAAAGTGAGAACGAAGATAAAGTATCAGACAAAAATGGAGACGAAGATGAAGTATCGGACAAAAATGGAGACAAAATGAAGAATCGCACAGAAGTGGCGACGAAGATGAAAAATCGAACAAAAATGAAGACAAAGGTGAAGTATCAGAGAAAAATGGAGACGAAGATGAAGTATCGGAAAAAACTGAAGACAAAAATGGCGACGAGGATGAAGAATCGTACAAAACCGAATCCAAAGACAAAGAAGTTGGTCGTTTCGCGGGACTCGCCGATTCGACGGTCGCATTTGAATAGCATTTACCGCCGGACGTTCCTGTGAAACGTCATATCGTTTCCTTGACACGATAAAGGTAAGAACCGTCGGGCACGAATAAGATCAGCGAGCCGCGTGATTCGGTTACTGGCCGAACGTCGTCCCCCGCAGCCTTCGCGTTTCTTCGAATTAGATCGTCGATCGAATTATCAACGAGGGAAACAGCCCGGCCGATATGACAGGCCGGAACGATTCCGACGGGGTCCGTCTGCGACGGCATTGATTCGAGCCGCTCGGCTCGGAGCAAACAGAGCGCGACGGAAGCGTTTGATTTACGTGCAAATTCACTTGTATACTTTCCCAGAAAAACGAGTAGTCGATCTCTATGTAACGACGCAACAAATCGCGCTGCCTCCGAGATGTTTTTGCTAGGAGGATTATTGTTGGCGAATCGAGGATGTGGAAGAGCTGGATTGCGTTGGCGGGCAAGGGAAATATCTTGCGTTCGGAGGAACAGTAGAATCTAGGTTAATTGGATCAC